GTTACATTTATTTCTTAATCTCAAAAAAATCTTTTTGACTCGAAATTTACTCGCAAAGACCATTCATCGATCATGCGATATTCAGGACACTTTCTTAATTTTATTTGTACTTTTCATTTTTATATTTATTTAGGCGTTCATTAAAAATTTTGTGAGCTTTTTTGATTAATAACAATTTCAATGTTTCATTGTAAAATATTTCCGCTATAGGAAACGCTAATATTCGACAAGGGACTAAATTCTGTAGTTGATGCCGTTTAGAGAAACAGGGTGTCCCATTTAAAGAAAAAATCGTTGAATCGTTTATGGATTACTAGCAATAGTTATCATGCTCGTTGTACAATTTCTTTCATATAATTCAAAAATAAAAAGAGACAGGCATATACACCTTTTTAAAATTAACTTAAAATTAACCATAGCAGTCAAACATGACAAAATATACAGGGTGCGCAACTTAACATTTTAAATATGACAACCATTTGGAAACGAATTCTAGGGCATCTCATAATTGGGGGTAGTTTTCTATCTTCCCGACCGTTTCAATGTGGTTGAGTAATGCAATATTTGGTTATTCCATTATTGGGGGTAGTTTTATATAGTAGTATATTATTTTGAAGCTCTCCTAAGTGACTCTTTAACGGTCTGGTTGAGTATCTGGGACAACGTAGATATTGCGAAATAAATAAAACGAATATTTGGTTATATCATTGTTGGGGGTAGTTTCAAGGTGGTTGAGTAATACATCATTTTGAACCTCTCCTAAGTGGCTATTAAAAGGTCTGTTTTGATATCTGGGACAACGTCAGGTTTTTTTGACATTCTGAAATAAATAAAACGAATTCTTGAGTATTTCGTTATGGGGGGTGGTTTTATATCTTGCCGACCATTTTGAGGTGGTTGACTAGTACATTATTTTGAAGGTCTCTTAAATAAATATAACGCAATTTTTGGTATTTCATAATTGAGGGTAGTTTTACGAGGTCAGCGCCAAAATTTTCCGGCCTGACATAGACAGCTCCAGTATCACGATAAAACTTTGTCTTGGCTGCAAAAAAAAATAAAGCCTTGCGTCAAATAGTTTTTTATTGATAGCATTTTAAAGAAGACGTGTCCGAAAAAATGTCGCATATGATGCAAATTGAGTATAGAGCAGTCATAAAGTTTTCGACAAAAGAAGGGTTAGCACCTAAAATTATTAAAGAAAGGCTGGATGGTGTGTACGGCCACAGTTCTCCTTCGTATTCTGTAGTGAAAGAATGGGCAAAACGCTTTCGAATGGCGCAGGAGTCCCTTGAAGATGATTCAAGAACTGGTCGACCAGTGGAGGTTATAACGGAAGACATTGTTGCGATTGTGGAAGAGGTGGTATTGAGTGATCGATGTTTAAAGGTGAAGAAAATCTTTCGGCTATTCCAAAAAAAAACTCCTGGAAGAGTGCGCGCGGTCTTTTTTGGAACTCTGTGGGTCGTAACCGAAGCCTGTGATAGAAACTATTGTGACGGGAGATGAAACGATAGTTCTCTATTATGATCCCCTATCGAAAAAAGAATCAATGGAGTGGCGCCGTAAGAGTGAAGCACCTCCAACAAAATTCAGAGTCTGCCAGTCAACAAAAAAGGTGATGGCCACGATCTTTTGGGTCAATGGTAAATATTACGCAACATTATTACATAAATTGCGAGACTGCGTATGTGTAAAACGTCGAGGAAAACTGACCAGAGGCGTTTGTCTTTTGCACGATAATGCACCTGTCCATACTGCTGGTGTTGCACAAGCTGCCATTTTAGAGTGTGGGTTCCAGCAGATAGATCATCCTCCCTATAATCCAGATATGCCTCCCAGCGACTATTTGTTTGGGACTTACGTGGACGTTTAAAGACGAAGTTGAGTTAAAAGAGGCTGTTTTAGCTCATTTTGCAGACAAACCAAAATAATATTTTTTTAAAGGGATTCAGTTGTTAATAAAGAGATGTAAAAAGTGTATTGAAGTTAAGGGGGATTATATTGAAAAATTTGTTACTCTACTTTGTTTCTTTCATATTCAGGCCAGGAAATTTTGGCGCTGCCCTCGTATATATTGTTAACGGTTTCAAGGTGGCTGGGTAATACATCATTTTGAAGCTTCCCGAAATGGCTCGTCAATGGTCTGGTTGAACTTCTGGGTCAAAATCAACTTCAGAAAAGGGGTTATTATCTGTATAGCAACATTAAATATGATTTCCCGGCATTTCCACAGGAATACGTTGTTTTAATTAATGTAAATAACGAACTGGTCCACTGTAATATTGGAAAATCCGAATCCAAATCGAAATCTAACTTCAGCCACATGATTATAAATTACACTTGCTGAAGTTTCGCCAATCATCCTGTTGACTTCTTCAAAACTGATGTAGGAGGAATCCAGAAGATATGTAAATAGTATTACACTAGCCCTAAGAAGCTGCGTATAGTTTCTAAGTTTTTCGGTTTTTACGCTACATAATATCTTTTTCACCACATTTCATTTATTTTTGATTAAAACTTTGTATTTCTGTATTTCAATTAATAATTAATAATTAAGTTAATATGGGATTTGTTCAAAAAATAAAAAGTAACAGGATTAAAGGGTATAAAAAATTTCATTCTATTATTTTTCTTTTAAGCTGCCAATTAATTAGAAATTTAGCACACGCATTACTAAAGTATTTTTTGGTATTTTTAAACCAAATTATACTTAATGTAAGACCCTTGATGCCAAAGAGTCTTAGCGGTCCATGATTTAAATAAAATGTAATCAAACTTTTTTGTCTAGGTTTTTGCAAATTTGAAGAGCTCGCAATTAAAGACAATTGAAAATGCCTTCTTGTGATACCACAATAAAATAAACCGTTAATATTTCCATGCAATGCATGTTCTTGAAACATAAGTTTTCTTGGAACTAACATAGTAGTAGATTTCGAAAGTGTTTTACACAACGTGGTTCCGTAAAAAAACCAAACACAATCAAAATTATTAAACAACTAGCTATTAACTATACTGTAGCATGCTAAAGCCTATATCTTCTTTCGAGTAGTTTAATATTATGCATCAGATAGTGTACGTTACGTAAGAGATTTCTGATAGCCCTAGACAAAAAAATCCAGTTGGTTTAAATCAGGCGATCTGGGAGTCCAGCGCCATATTCATTTGGCGTATTTTATCATCTTTTAGCTGAAATGAGGTAGTGCTTCTTGAAGTAGCCATATTATTTGTCTAACTTGAATAGACTTCCTATAAAATGGGCAAGAGAGTAGTGGAGATAAAGTTTCGATCGCCATTATGAAGATTATTAGCTCTCTTGCCCATATTTTCAAGAGAAAGCAGATTTTCAGGGAATAGATCATGAGAAGTGGCATTTTGCTTTCAAAAAAATTCGTATACTCTCTGTGGACTATTTTCCTGAGCAACAGTTTACTTTGGGATTATTTTTTTTGAATGCAGGCCTTCATAGTAAAGTATAGTATTATTTCTTTCGGAGATGTTTCACAATAAAAAGTCTTGCTGCTAATGCACTACAGCCAGCGTCTGTATAGTTAAGAAATAATACCCTTAGCGTCAAAACCAAAATATTATCACACATCTGTGAAGGAAGTGAAATCTATACTATATATACCCAGGCACAATATGCAGAACAATAACATAAACTCATTCAGTGAAAATGCGTTAGAACTGAGTGAAAACCTGCAGCAACTACTTAGTATGTCAAGACAAAAAAGATTTTCATCTAAAGAGTTAAACCCTCGAAAAGATGGACATGGCACATAGTAGCAAGCACGCCTGGAATACAATAAAGAATCTCAATGGTGACTCCATAGAGAGACTATTTCAGGTTGCACAACCTTTTTGCGTAAACGATAAAATCAATAAATGCAAACCCACAAAATCATAAGAGGAGTGGAAATAAATGGATTTTATGATAAACCGTTTCACTATAAAAATACAATACAAGACAAAGCTGCCAAGTAGCTATCGTCTCTAGCATGTTGGAACAAGTCATCTGTACAAACTGTAGGTATCCTTAATCATCCATATGGATTCGTAACAAAGGGCTTTTAGATCAGGAAAATATTGTACAGCTCAGATATTAAAGGTCGATCGACCTCATTGCTGTTTACATTACCATCCATAAAACTCTCCTAACCAAGACATATAACACAATAATGGATTATAATATTGTTAAATAATTGAGGCAGTGCTATATAAGAGGCGGTGCTCTATGTTAGAATATTCTTCTTCTCTGTTTAAATTTTTTACTGACGACCGACCAATATATCCAAAACAAGAACACTTCATATAATATGGTGACAATCTTGGTGTGGCAATGTAGACGAAACACATGAACAGAATAAAGTCGTAAGCGAAACTCATGTAAACCAAATCCAAATCCTGCTTGGAAGATTAAAGGTAAAAATTAAGTTGGGTGGCACAGTCACTGGAGTACTCAAATAAGCCTAAGTATGTAGGAGTACTCTTAGTCGATCCCTCAAATACCATTTCAAAAGAACAGAGGGTTACCAACAACCCCCGTAAAAAACTAGCACGAAAATGGCAAGCATACGTAGAAGTCTCAAATGCAGAATATGATTATAGCTAGATTCAGACACGAAAAGATTTACTACATAATGCAGCGGGTATCGGATCTTCTGAGGATCGAAGTGCTCAATATCTGGTCCACATAAAAGTTTACAGTTTGAGAAATTTCATGAATCCAGCTGGAAATGGGAATGGAAATCTTGAACATCACTGCCAATGATTTATGGTCGGCTAACAATGAAGCTGTCGAAATAGCCCGTTTGTTGGTTGAAAAGCTATATCTTGAATTGTTACACGAAATAGCAAAGCAAAGTAATTAGCTGTGGTTAATTGATATTTACAAAAATTAAGCACCTTCGAGTTAAATTGCTATAAAATTTAAAACAAAATGGGATTTTTCATACTTAAGTGAGAGCGCGCAAGTGAGGCAAGAAGATTTAATTACTTACTAGAATTAGACCTTTATAGGCGCACATCAGAGAGAGCCACACGTTGTTGTGATGGCTCTCGCAGTGCTCGAGTTCTGGTCTTATCTTTGAATCGTCCGACTCCTCTTCGGGTTCTTCCAAAGGAAATAACTCTATTCGTCTCTGTAACGGATCGAGTATCTGCCAACTGATCATAATCACCAAATCGATCACCAATAGGCCGGACACCATCGAATACAGTTTCCAAGGCTGGACCTTTTTCTAAAACCAATCACCAATATAAATAATCAGCAGGTTTTCATATTATGGTTTATACCGATTTTGCCTTGGGATCCGTTTTCGCTTTCGTGCTTAACCGATGCACCCTCCACACTTTACTGAACATAGCCCCGAATGACAACGTGAATCCTATAGTCAACAACCAGGCTCTGGCTTGGCAGATGAAGGGGTAAGTTTCGGGCACCACGAACCTGCCATCCAGACCGAGCAGAAAAACTGCCGCCAAACATACCACTATTCCGAATAACATTATGGTGTTGCATACCGGATGTGATGACTGAATTACCCTGCAAAGTCATGTACACGTAAATTCTCATGTCAGGAGTGTATTGTGGCAAAAACGTAATATTAACCTCGGGAACTGGGACGGGACGTGTTAGGACAGAATATGGCTTTAGAATATAGAAAGAAGTAGGACGGCCAAGAAAAACACCTTATAACATATGATATATCTCGAATGTGTCTTCATTTATAAATTATAGAGTAATAGTATACTATGGAACGAGTGCGGTAAACGGCATTTGACTCACGAGCTTAATAAACGAATAAAAACGAAACGAATAAAAATAAGTTTACCGAACGTGTTGCATACTATACTTTTTCTACGTCCATTAGTTTTTGGGCACATTTTCGCAAAACAACACGAATACATCCACTGACATGACCATCAGAATTGACAAACGTCAAAATTCGAGGCGTGAGAAATATCTCCGAAAACATCCGATTGTTCCCAAACTCGTGCGGAAATGTCCGAAGTGGCTCGCATCCGTGGGAAACGAAACTGATGTGGTAAAGTGACGCTTCCCGCACGCTAGATCGGTGAGTAATTAGGTATTTTATAGACAGGAGTAGAAAAAATTAATTATCTCATTGGTTTCAAAAGTTAGGAGAAAATGGTGAATACAAAAGTTGTAAAGTATGTACAATTAAAAATTATTTTAAAGTATACAGAATGGCTAAAAAAGCGTGATGAATAAAATATACATTTTTTTGAATGGAAAACGCTATTGTTAAATTTTGCTTATTGTTTTTTTTTCATACGTAGCTAAATCTAATAGTTTTTCCAATATTTCAATTTTTCTAAACAAATACCTATTTCAAATAATTTTAAGTTTAATTGATATTAATAAAATTAGCCAACATGGCTCTGCTAAGGTGAAAAAATCAAAAAAGCAAACCATATTAAATACTTGCTACTATAAATTAATTTGCCTAATTTTTAATTATTATTATGGTGCAATAAATGGTCATATGTCGTTCTATTTGGATACACGTGTTTAGACTTCTTCGTACATTTTCTTGGAATACATTTTGTTATTCTCCTGCTTCTACTAAATTAGTCTTCAACTATTGACCAGTTCGACTATACCTCATTTCAATTAAATCAAAAGTGTCAATCGCAGATGTTCGAAAGTAAGTAAGACACCTGGTATAAATTATATTCTATACTCAGTTTTTTTTTTAATTCACTGACATCACACTAAATTTTATGAATTTTAATGTAAAAATTTGATAATTTTATATTACAGCAAGAGGAACAGAAAGAAGGGTAAATATTTCAAAAGTTAAAATAAGTTAAAATAAACTTGTATCAAGTATATGACACACTTTATACAAGTTTGTAAGATTTTGCAGAAAAAATAATAATATATATGGTGTGCCATTTAAGGAAATCGAGATTTTGTAGTATCTTATTAAAATTTGGTTGCACATATCTCTTACGTCATTATCGAATAAGCTTAATATTAAATAATTTAAATTTAAAATTGATGAAAATTTTTAAAAGGAATTAAAAAAATAGCGTCTTCCATTTAAAACAATGTATATTTAATTCGTCACGCTTTTTTGGGCGACCCTGTATACTTTAATATAATTTTAAATTTTCATACGATGTTGGTAAATTTCACCAATACCATTTTGGTTTTGGTATTGTGTAAATAGATTATTTCCTGTTAGCAGCTCGTATAATTATTATTATGTCAAATATAAAAAGGAAATTCAAAAATAATCTCTAAATACTATACTAATGATTAATTATTCTTGCATGTAATTAATTCTTCTACCAACGAAAAATCCGAGAGTCTATAGAAATCTATAAGCAACCTAATAATCTTAACAGCGACTCAGGTCTCTAACTGTCACCAATATGGGGAATCAGTCATCCGAGACGGTGTTTATGCCCCTCATTTAGCTCCGCCCCCTCTCAAAGGATGTTTGGCGAAACGTTGGCTGGTTCGCGTTAACAATAACCAACGCAGGAGGAATCCAGAAGTTTTATAAAATAGTGTTTTATTGTTAGTTGTACCTTGTTACTGGTTGATGTCAGTTTTGAAGTGGTAATTTAAGTACGAAAACATTAATTATCTGTTGCTGTTCTGTATTTCAAAAAGAAGCCGCTTCGCGTCCAAATAATAGCAATTTCAAATGAATTTTTTTTAAATATCTGGCGTACCCTGTAAGATAGACGAACCTGAAACTCTCTCCCTGCACAATTTTCTAGGCTGTTTAAATTATCCCAGGTTTTGTAGTTTTTCACTTACAGCCAAAACGTATCTACAAAAACGGCAATTTTCAGGGTATTTTAGATTTAATATTCCGGAAATGGAGGTTATAGCCCTGGATCTTTCCCGTTTCCTGGTCCAAGAATTTTTCTAAAATTGTAAATGGTTTTCGAGAAAATAAGATTTTTTTTTTGCGCCGTCATCGCGTCTTGACAGCCCCCGGAATAGTGATTTTCATATGGATTTTTACAAATTTCTCGAGCACCGTGTGTGTACGAAAATCTGAGTGGCCTGTATTTGGGCTGGTTACTATTTTTTGATTTTCCCTTTAAAAAAATTTCGAGATCGACGATATAATGACGACTCCGAAAGGGTGCGGCCTACCTTGATCCCTTGAAGGGGGTTGCTGGTTCTCTGCACCCGCGGGTTTTACACGTATCGGCACTTTTTTAATTGCTTTACACTTTGGAATTGTCCGTGATGCGTTCGGTTCGACGGTCGATCAGAGAGAGTCCGCGTGGATCGATTTAAAAATTTTGACCTTTGTCTTCGGCCGCAAGTAAAAAGAGTCGTCATTTTTTGAGCGCGAAAAAACCGCGAAATAAATTAATATATGTAGAGTAATTTAAAAAAGGAGTTTGCATAATTCATAAATCCCTTATCGGGACGATACATACCGCCCAGCAAAATGGTACATTTTAGCACCACGTTTGAAATTAATTTATATACTAAGAATTAAGTTAACGTAATTAAAAAAAGAAAAAAGGAAGAGACGAGAAAAAGGGTTTAATACTGCGGCAAAGGACAAACTTTTGACACAGGTCTTTTTATGGTACCCGTTGCGGTTTTAATGGTTACAACCCTAACCACGCCATCGCGACCGGGGTGTGTTTGGATTATACGTTCTAGCTTCCACTTAAGTGGGGGTAAAAGATCTTCTTTAACCAGGACAAGAGTATTGTTTTCGATTGGAACCCCCGGATCGTACCAGTTACTTCTTTGCATTAAAGTATGTAAGTACTCCGTGTGCCAGCGTCGCCAGAAATCTTGGTGCAAGCGCTGCGTTAACTGCCACCGAGAAAGTGTATTTAATTTAATATCCGACAGATTAGGTTCAGGAAACGCGTTTAAAGGTTCGAGATTAAGAAAATGTCCGGGGGTTAACACATTGAGATCGTTAGGATCAGAGCTTATTGGGCATAATGGGCGAGAATTAAGAACACTTTCTATGGACACAAGCACTGTATAGAATTCTTCATATGTGAGAATTTGGTCCCCCACTACTCGCACCAGGTGACCCTTGACAGATTTAATACCTGCCTCGAAAATACCACCGAAATTAGGAGCAGCTGGGAGGTTAAAATGCCACTTAATGTTTTCTTGGCTGTAAATCGATTTCCAAGTGTCTGAAATTTGTTTCGACGCGCCGACGAAGTTAGTTCCGCAGTCCGTGTAGATATCCGTAAACCGACCGCGACGTGATAAAAATCGGCGGAGGGCGCCGAGAAATGCATCAGTAGAAAGTTCTGTGGCTAACTCCAGATGGATAGCGTTGGTAGCCATGCAGACAAAAAGGCAAATGTAAGATTTTAGAGTTTTGGCGCCTCGAGTCTTCCCCAGGGTGATACGAAAAGGGCCTCCGAAGTCGATACCTGATTTGATCTGATTTTACCTAGTTGTCGGTAAATCTCCCATTAAGGGTTGAGACGAGAGAGGTTTGGCGCGAAAGCATCGGTAGCAGGAGGATAACACTTTTCGTATGGTGCGTTTTGGAGATGTTATCCAATAATTCTGAGTTAGCAGATACTGCGTAGTTTGCAATCCGGGGTGTAAATATTTATTATGGATGTATAGAATTAGTAGGGTAGTGAGTCTATGTGAACCCTTTAAAAGAATGGGGTATTTTTGTTCAAACCCTAGCGAGGAGTGTGTTAACCGACCACCGACTCGTAGGATACCGTTATCGTCGAGAAAGGGAGATAGCTTTCTCAGATATTTGGGAAGACGTCCCTTCTTTAGCAAAATTTTAAGTTCACCTGGGAATAGGATACGTTGAACTTCTTTGATTAACACCAGAAGGGCGTGATGGGTCTCATTTTCAGAGAGATCATCTAATTGGCGACTCTCGGGGGTGCGAGTATTGTGTATAAATCTTAAAATATTTGCCGCTACTCGAATGATTTTAGTGATTGAGGAGAAGCGATCAATCAGAGAAGTGAAAGGATTTTCATCCGCGAAAGTAATTAGGACAAATTTGCGGGTCTCTACGGAAGTTTGAAATGCTTTATTTTCCGAATACGAAACATTCGAAACGAAAGTATTCCTATCAGTGGAACGGAAATGGGGGCCCGCCCACCATGTGGGATGGTTTACAAGCTCGGACGGGTAGAAACCTCTTGAGGCGCAATCAGCAGGGTTTTCGCTTGAGGATATTTGGAACCAATTAGAAGGAAAGATTTTCTCTTGGATGTGACTCACTCTGTTAGCTACGAAAGTGGCCCAGTTATGTGGAGAAGAATGGATCCAAGACAGAGCTACAGTTGAATCTGAATAAGCAAATATTTTTGTAATGTTCATGTGTTCTTGATATGTATCTAATATGTAATGCAATAAGTCAGCTAATAACACAGCAGCGCAAAGTTCCAGGCGCGGTATAGAGATTTTCTTCAAAGGGGCTATTCTAGATTTTGAACATACAAAGTGCACCTTGACTGTGGAATTTGTCGTCTGCGTGCGGAAATATACGACGGCGGCGTAAGCCTTTTCAGATGAATCACAAAAACCAT